CTCCTCATCCACCCCTGGACAGAACTCCGTATTTTCTAGTTGCTCTCTCACATAAAGAGCGACTCCAACTCCCTGCCTTGTTGACCTGTCTCTCCTGAAAAGTATATAGCCATCCATGACCACATTCCAGTCACGTGAGCTGTCCCACCATGTCTCTGTAATTGCCACCAGATCATAACCCCTTGCTGCACACAGATTTCTAACTCCTCCTGTGTATTCCCCATGCTGCGTGCATTGGCATACAGGCCTTCAGGGAGCGAGCTGAGCACGCTGACTTCACCCTAGGGGGATGAGAGGCCTTCTGAGGCTGAACCACTGAGGGATGGGTTTTGCTACCCTGTCTTCAGTGGACAGGAGAGAGGAGTTGCGTATTAGTGTAAAATGGATTTAAGCAGGTTGACTGTGGCAAGGCCTAAGGGGCAGTGGAAAGAGCTTTCTCTTCTTTCTGCTAGTCTTGAGTCCCATTGGACCTGATTATAGCCCTGTGTTGGATGTCTATTACAGGGCTCCCGCACCCATTTGCTATCACCGTGTTTGAGGACAGTTTGTACTGGACAGACTGGCACACCAAGAGCATCAATAGTGCCAACAAATTCACAGGCAAGAACCAGGAGATCATCCGCAACAAACTCCACTTCCCTATGGACATCCACACACTGCATCCTCAGCGCCAGCCAGCAGGTAACTGCAGAGAGGGTAGAGACCCATTTGAGCCACTAGAAGACCTGCTGCCACTCACCACCTCACCCAGAGAGATGGCAAGCCTGAACCCAGCATACCGGCACATCGGCCACCTCCGTCCAGAGCTGTTGCAGAACTTGCTCCATCTGGTAGTTCAGACCCCGTAACGTGGTGTTAGGTGTTACCACAGCTCCCCCTGCTGACACGCGGGAGTAGAGATTTTTCAGAAGGAAGTACTTAATGCTTGTTTATGTAAGAGCTGTTTTGGGAAAGGGGAAAAAATCGTAAATGGGCACTAGTAATGACAGACGCCTTCTTTATTCCTCTTCAATTGCCATAATCTGCTCTATAAGTGCATTGAGTTAAATATTTTATTTTAAAATTAAGCCCTACAAATGGAGTTTGTGCTTCAGTTTATATGTTTCCTTATTCTCAATTAACTTCTGGGTAGATAAGTTATCTTATCCTTGCGGGTCTTGAACCTTGACTGGCGTTTTTCCTCTTTTTCTTTACTCTTTGCATTATGCGTCGTTTTTGTCTTTGGCTACTTGAGCAGGGAGAAACCGTTGTGGGACCAACAACGGGGGCTGTACTCACCTCTGCCTGCCAAGCAGCAAGGATTACACCTGCGCCTGTCCCACAGGTTTCCGCAAGACCAGCAGCCATGCCTGTGCCCAGAGTAAGTGAGGTGGGACCACAGCCTGCATGCTCAGATGTTCAGTGGGTGGCAGAGGGTTGGCAATGGCATTAAGCAGTAGCAGTTGCTTCCAAGGAGACTTAGCTGGATAGACTGAGTTGGTATCATTCAAGGCCCCACCTTTCTGATGTATTCCCCTGTTCTGCATTCCCATTGCCCTTACTAGGCTTGATGGGTGGGGGTGCAGAGAAGCTCCATCCTTGGGTCCTTGTTTCAGGGCTGCTATTGGTGCTATGCTACCTGTCACAGCTGATTGTTTCCCTTAAACTCCCATAGGAGCTGTGTCAGTGATGAACAAAGAATTCAGTCCTCTTGATTGCCACAGTTTCTCTTGGTTTGTAACCAAGTGGAAGAATTAGGCCTACTTCCAGATTCTCAAAAGCTATTCTCAAATAGCTATTTGATTTGGAGGAAGCTCTATGCCATTCTTTGAAGAATATGGTTGACACTGTTCCCTCAGCATAGCCTACGCCCAGGAGACAGTTCCCTACTACTCTGTTCTTCCCCACCCATCCACCTGACCCATCCCCCTGGTGATATTTTATTACCAGTAAAATCCTGGGCTGTGATCTGCCAGTGAGAGATGTTGTAAGTGGTTAAGGTTGGATATAACAGGGAATTGTCTGTGTCTATCACTGTGTTGTTGAACTTAGAGAAATTAAAAGAAGACCTTTCGACCTTTGATCAGGTCTTGACAAGTTCCTGCTTTTTGCCCGAAGGATGGACATCCGTCGGATCAGCTTTGACACAGATGACCTGTCAGATGATGTCATCCCCCTTGCTGATGTCCGTAGTGCTGTGGCTCTAGACTGGGACTCAAAGGATGACTATGTCTACTGGACAGATGTTAGCACCGACTCAATCAGCAGAGCAAAATGGGATGGATCGAGCCAGAAGGTACAGTGTTAACTACATGTGGAGGTCATCTAGCAAGGAGACTACTTGAGCATCAGATTTGAAGCCACTGGGATACACTGGCCTCCTAAGGAGCTGCAGTTCGTGCTGGATTTGTTTGTTAGTTTGCCTAGTTCTGGCTCGGAAGAGCCCTGAGATCACTGAACACTTCATATACAAGTTTGGTGTATGTTTCTGCTTGTATGGAAAACCTTGAATTGGGACACGAAGCATGTTGATTTGTAAGCTGTGGTCAATTCCTTTGTTGTAGCCCTAAAGTCTGAAAGGAAGAAGTATTAAACCCTCTGTTATGTACTATGTTTGGAACAAGAGCCACGCTCCTTGGGAAAGCTTTTTGCACGTGCCCTTAGGCCATTGTTGCCATAAATGAGGGGAACAGATTTCAAAGTTTGGAGTGGCAGTTTGAACAGACATGAAAAATAGGTGTTTCTCCAAATGTAAGACTTACTTGAACTTTTAAGTCCTTAATGCGCTCTCTTGTATGGCATTGCTGTGCTTGGGTTTTTGCCTTTTGAAAGTTAATGAGTTTTGTGAATGGGTAGTGCATTAGGCAAGTGCTAAGGTCTAATCTCACTAAGGATTTTTTCTTTTTGTTTTTATTTAGGTTGTAGTGGACACCAGCCTGGAAAGTCCAGCTGGACTGGCAATTGACTGGGTCACCAACAAGCTATACTGGACTGATGCAGGTACTGGGATCCTCTGCTTTACCTGTGCTTCTGTCTTCCTTGTTAGTCATGAAAACTCAAAAACAGCTAGGTAGTTCTGTCTGTCTCATTCCAAATTTGTCTGTTTCTGTCTAGCAAAAAATGGAGTTCTAGCTCTTGTACTTCTAACAAAGTTGGGGTTGAGGTGGAATCCTTAGTTTAATTCTCTTTGCAGTACCCCCATGTAATGGGTTTGCGTGGCAAGGTTTTGGTAGCAGGGGGTTACAGGGGTGGCTTCTGTGAGAAGCTGCTAGAAGTTTTCCCTATGTCCAATACAGCCTATGCCAGCTGGCTCTAAGATGGATCTACCGCTGGCCAAGGCCAAGCCAGTCAGTGACAGTGGTAGCGCCTCTGTGATAAAGTGTTTAAGAGGGGAAAAAAGTTACTGCACAGCAGTAGTTGCAGTGAGAGAGAGGAGTGAGAATATGTGAGAGAAATGTTTCTGCAGACATTAAGGTCAGTGAAGAAGGAGGGGGAGTTGGTGCTCCAGGTGCCAGAGCAGCAATTCGCCTGCAACCTGTGGTGAAGACCATGGTGAGGCAGGCTGTACCCCTGCAGCCCATGGGCAGTGGAGCAGGTATCTGCCTACACCCTGTGGAGGACCCCGTGCTGGAGTAGGTGGATGCCTGAAGGAAGTTGTGACCCTGTGGGAAGCCTGCACCGGAGCAGGCTCCTGACAGGACCTGTGGACCCATGGAGAGAGAGAGAAGCCCATGCTCGAGCAGGTTTACTGCTAGTGACCCCATGGGGGAGGCCCACGCTAGAGCAGTTTGTGAAAAACAGTAGCCTGTGGGAAGGACTCACATTGGAGAAGTCATGGAGGACTGTCTCCTGTGAGAGGGACCCCACACTGGAGCAGGGGAAGCAAATGTGTGAGGGATCCTCCCCCTGAGGAGAAAGGAGCGGTAGAAACAACGTGTGATGAACTGACCGCAACCTCCATTCCCTGTCCCCCTATGCCACTCAGGGGGAGGAGGGAGAGAAATCAGGAACTAAGTTAAGCCTGGGAAAGAAGGGAGGGGTGAGGGGAAGGTGTTTTAAGATTTGGTTTTATTTCTCATTAGTCCTCTGTGAGTTGATTGGTAATAAATTACATTTTTTCCCCAAGTCAAGTCTGTTTTGCCTGTGATGGTGAAGCTGAGCGATCTCCCTGTCCTTATCTTGACCCACGAGCCTTTTTGTTATATTTTTCTCTCCCCTGTCCAGTTGAGGAGGGGGAGTGATAGAGCAGCTTTGGTGGGCACCTGGCATCCAGCCAGCATCAACCCACCACACCCCACTACTAATTCTATAGAAAGATTTATAGTAGAAGTCAAGCATCACTGTTGTCTTGCTGCAGAGCTTGTGATTGTGTGTGTTTATGTAACAGCGTATCTGGAGTGCAGCACGTAGTATTTGGAGGATGTTCCCTGCCAGAGAGTAATAGTTCAGAGAGATGTAAGGAAGGTGATTCTTTTCTAGCTGATCTGTCATGCCTATATGTAGATACCTTGGGGGCTTAGGAAAGAGCTGGTTTGTATTCATACAGGACTGTGCATCAGTGACAGCCACAGAGGTGTCTTGAGAGATCTAATGGACGGTGACACTTTGAGCCACATCTCTTGCCTATCTTCCAGCTATGAACAGAGATGGACAGAGGGGAAGAATGCATTGCTGGATGGATGTGTTTTGCCTTAGGTCTTGCAATTCCAGAGGTCTTTGATCTCTCTCTTATTCTCTCTGTTGACTTTTGTAGGAACAGATCGGATAGAGGTCTCCAACACAGATGGGACCATGAGAACTGTTCTAATCTGGGAGAATCTAGACAGACCTAGAGATATCGTGGTGGACCCTGTTGGAGGGTGAGAGATTCTTTCTTCTGGGATGGTGTGGCAATTCTTGCATGTCTAAAGATGTTCAAGTTCTTTGGTTTTGTGCAATCGTCTTTCTCTCTGGTGCCATTTTTCTACATCCTGCCAAAGACTGAAATTAGAGACCTGATTTTGGATGCTAGTGGAACAAGAGAAGCAGGGATAATTGCCTGTTGTGCTGCAGAGCTTGCAGGAGCTGGCTGCTGTTTTCATTTGTTTATCCTGGGGACGTAATAACTAAAGATGTGGTACAAAAAAATCTTGAGAATGAGACCATCTAGATCTTTTCTGTTTCTTTATTTTATGTCTGTGTTTAATTTGTCTTCAAGCTCTCTGCTTATCAACCAGACTAGTCAGAAGGACCTCCTCAAGTACATTACTACTGATCTCAAGCAAGCTGGCCTCTGGCTTCAGAGCACTGTGTCAGAGTATTGCAGGATTATCTGTGCCATGGAAAGCAAACTTGAGTGGAGTAACAGAAATAAATCATTTTGATAACAGATTTTGCTTCTGAATAATAAGACCTTGTGGATCTGGGGATAGGGTGGATAGGAAAAAGCTTGCCAGCCATTGCTTTAGAAGTGGTGCAGGTCTTGAATAAAAGTGTGCTATTCTTTTCTTGAGTGGGTTGCTGAAAGACCAATGCAGCAAGAGTATAAAGAGCCAATAGTGGAGACTGGTAAATAACTGGTTGATTTGAACTATTATCTTGAACTTTTTCCTCTATGTAGTAATTAGGCTAGCCTGTGGGCAGTAGAAGATATATAAATTTGAGAGTGATCTTAGGTGCGTTACAAGAACCCAAAGCTGGACTTGAGTACAGTGTTAGTCTAATGCTGCTTCCTGCCAGGGCCTGAAGGCACCAGGCTCTCTTGCTTCTCTGTAACACTGCCTGGCTGTGGTGGCAGTGAAGGAGTGGGGGCATTCACTTCTGTCTGGACTTTCATTCAGGTTCATGTACTGGACTGACTGGGGAGCCAGCCCAAAAATTGAGCGTGCTGGTATGGATGCCTCAAATCGCTTGGTAATCATTTCCTCCAACCTGACATGGCCTAATGGCTTGGCAATTGACTATGAGTCACAGCGCTTGTACTGGGCAGACGCAGGAATGAAGACCATCGAGTATGCCAGTCTGGATGGAAGCAACAGGAAGGTAAGGAAGCCATCTCTGAGGAGGGAGTCTGGGAGCCTGAGGTGTAAGTCCTAGAGCACAGAGTGCTGGTGGCCCCTGCCTCTCTTTCCAGTCGAAAGTGAAATCTCCAAATCAAGGTATGCTGAGCTGTTTCCACTGCGAGAGAAGAGCTTCCCTTCGGTTGCAAACTGTTTGTGAGGGAACTTCCTCTTGAGAGCTAATGTTGCTCCATCACTCTCCTTTTGCTGTTACTGTACATGAT